AAAAAGTGTATGCTCCAAACACAGTGAATAACCAAAAATTGTACAAACCTTCAAATTCTTAGCAAGAGACTTATCGTATGCATTAATCCTGAGAAGATTTGCAGAAGTCAATATAGTACATTCGAAAAAACCGTTGACATTGTCACACTCTACAATAACCCCAGAAGCCCAGAAAAATTTCTCCTCTCCTGAAAATTTAGAGAAAAAAGAAAGAGTGCATATGTTTCTCATGTATATATCAAAGAGAATGCCCCGTTTGTAGATAGCGGATTGAAGGTAAATTAGCGGATTGGACTTAATTGAGAGGTTTGACCCGTCAAATCCGCTATTGAGTCTTTTGATAAATAGCTTATTTAATAAGCTTTTTGGGCTCAAACCTCTAATTTAGAAAAAGCTCATTAGAGGAGCTTTTTGGGATAGAGGATTCACAAAAAAACTTTTTACTTGGAACTTTTTAATTTGTATTATTTATTTTAAAATTTATATTGGTTTATGGTGCTAATAAATAATAATATGTCATCCATATGATTAATTTATCTAGAAAAATATAAAATTCATAACTTCTTCATCAAGTTTTAGGCAATTTAAAGAAAAAAATAATATATTTATAAATTACCAACTAAAGAATATTAAATGTTTTAATATATTATTATTAAAAAAATACACCCTAAATAATAAAATATTCTTATTGGTCATTTTGTAATGTCAAATAGCTATAAGCTTTCAGCTATTTACCAAACACTTATTTAAAAACCGCTAATGCAATCTGTTGGTCAAATCAGCTAATATAATCCGCTATCCACTATCCGCTGATACAATCTGCTATCCGCTATCCGCTGATCGCCAAACAAGGCCAATATAATCTCACGGGAAAAAAACTTTTTCTCATCTGAACTATCAGCTTTTTTTCGCTTCACCATATAAACTTTTATTTTTTGCAAACTACCATCTAAACTACACGGGTTTGTCAATATACCCCCCATACCAGTTTGATGTCCGGTTTCACTTGTTTGAAACCGGTTTTGAGCCAATATAAATACTCGTTACCGATCATTTTGTGTGAAGTATTTTCTCAGAATTCTCCAAATTTTCCCCTCTTTTGGTCTAGGGTTTCCAATTTTCGAATCAAAACAATGTTCAAGCAAATTTTCGAGGAGCTAATCGATGATTTCTGCCGCTGTGGGAAGCCTACTGTGCGAAAGACGTCATGGGCTGATGGTAATGCGGGGCGGAGGTATGTGGTACCATACCATGGGTTAGAGAAGAGGTTTCAATATGCTCGACTTCAAGGAGAAGAAAGAAACTAAGCCCCAGTGATTGACGTAGAGCCCAGTTCCTATTTAGAAGGCTGTAATTTCCTAACGGCCGCAGTTTCTACTCCTGCTAATAGTTTATCGCATTCTTTATTATTACTATGGGGTCCTGAAGCACAAGGAGATTTGACCCGTTGGTGTCAATTAGGTGGTCTGTGGACTTTTGTTGCTCTGCATGGTGCTTTCGGACTAATAGGTTTCATGTTACGTCAATTTGAGCTTGCTCGATCTGTTCAATTGCGACCTTATAATGCAATCGCATTCTCGGGTCCCATTGCTGTTTTTGTTTCTGTATTCCTGATTTATCCACTAGGACAGTCTGAACTTTTCATGCTTCGCTTCGGCCTTCGGAAAGTCTTCTTTTCAAGCAATGAAGTGAACCCCGCATCTGAGGGTCGGGGCGTGAAGGCCTGCCGGCTTTGGAAATCTGACGGTGAGTGACTCAATTTCTTCTCTCGATTTCAAATTTGTTAGTTTAATTGAATTTTGTAGTTTAATTGTCCATCTTCTTTCGACTTTTATGTTTGTCAACTCATATCAATATTTTTTTCCCTTTTTTCGAATTCCAGATGTTGGGTGGGTGCACATACCATGTGTGGGTTGACCCTCTAATGTGTTATAGAGCACAACAACTCATTCCTGGGCTTCTGAAACGGGTCAAGAAATTGGAAGAAGAAATTGCAAGAAGGAAGAAATGGGAGAGGCTCATGTTGTTGGCAATTGTTGGTTTGATTGTTCTATGCTTCTTCAAGTGTTATGTGTAATGGGTGTGTTTGAGTATTGACTGAAACAAGATGAAATAGATGTACTTGAAGTGTAATGGGTATGCAATGTTGTAGTAGGCCATTTTGTGAATTGCAGTGGATGTGTCTCTTTTGTGAATGCAATGGAAGCATCTCTTTTATTTTGTGGACAATGTAATGTTATGGTGTATTGGTCATGAATGCAATGGATGTGTCTCTTTTTCATGAATGCAATGCACTTTGTTTCAATGCCCTGCTGTTTTTGTAATTATTTTGTGCACATTGCTTGTTGGTGCCATTAGGGATGAATAAACAACCAAAATAAACTAACACTTAAATTTCCAACCAAAATATACTAACACTTAAATTTCCAACAAAGATCATACATTGTTTGGATATCATACATCCCCAACATCCCAAAATCAACCACAATATCTTAACAAAACATAATCACAACAACCAAGTCAACTTAACATGTTAAGAGACAAAACAAACCATGTTTGTCCAACCCACACCAACACAAAACAAATCATGCTTACAGAATCCAACTACAAAGCATGCTCTATCTACTTCAGAGCCACAAAATAAGAACAAGCCTAGTTTACTGTTGTTTACAAATTGGCACTTCTTCTTCACTTCTGACAATCTTTTCACTTCTGACAGCTCCTTCACTTCTCACATTTGCTTCACTTCTGACAGCTCCTTCACTTCTAACATTTCCTTCACTTCTAACAATTGATTGGTCTGGCCTGACTACAATCCCTCCCCCACTAATCATGTATCCTCCACCAAACATTCTTGAGAAGCTTGAAACATCTGTGACTGGCCTCCCAGGTGGTCTCCATATGGGTTTGTCAACCTCAGGAGCAGAATTGGATGGTTGACCTTGAGATTGTGACATCTTTCTCACCTGGTTAACAATAATTGCAATAATACAGATTTTAAGTACAACTTCAATATGTGCAAACAAAATTTAACCAAGAAATCATCCAAATACTTACATCCAACTTCCTTTTCAGACCTAATGTTTTTTTTGTGCTCTGAACATCCTTGGTGGTTTGAGAATTCTGTGTGTGCACAATTTTCTCAGTACCTGTGACTTTGTCAATTGACTACAACAACAAATTAATTAGAAAATCAATAAGAATATAAAATTAGTCAAGAAAGACTCAATTTTATCTACATTTAATAGATCCAGTTACCTTACTAGCCTTGGAATTGGTAGTTGAAGTGGAATTGATGTTCTTCTTAGATCTTGTGGTTGGTCCTGTCACTGTGATGCTTTTGGCCAACTCTTTTTGGGTTGAGACTTCTCTTGTCTTCTTGATAAGGGTCTGTGACGTCTCAATTGAGGTGTTGGCTGACCTTGTGGTTCTCTCTCGACTTTGAGTAGTCTTCATTGCTTTCTTTTTCTCTGAGGTGTTGCTTCTTTTACTTTGAGGAGGCTGCACAATTTATTAGTTAGTCAGTCAATATATAGGGTTTCAAACATTGAAAATGTACTGTAAAAAGTCAAACATACCCTTGCAAGTGGTTGTTCATTATTGGGCAGTGATGCATCAAAAGCATCAAATTCATCAATCACAGAATAAATCTCATCCAAGCCTGGGTCATTGTCCATCTGCTGAGGGCCCATTTGGTCAGAGCCCATCTGCTGAGGGCCCATTTGGTCATGGCCCATTTGGTCAAAGCCCATTTGGTCAGGGTCCATTTGGTCAGGGTCCATTTGGTCAGAGCCCATCTGCTAAGGGCCCATTTGGTCATGGCCCACTGAGGCAGGGCCCATTTGCTGATGGCCCACTTGGTCATGGCCCACTGAGGCAGAGCCCATTTGGTCATGGCCCACTGAGGCAGGGCCCATTTGCTGGGCAGATGCTTGTGAGGGCTCATTTCTTTCATTTTCCTACACATATAATACTCAAATTTATTTTAGAATATCATCATAGTATGAATTTATTATAAGTAGTACATAAATGAAAATACCTTTTGGTTGTTCTCATTCTTCTTAGAAGGGCAACCTCTGACATTGTGGTTCTTCTGTCCACAGTATTAGCATGTCATTTTCACTCCTTTTTTGCCTAAGGTAAGTGGTCTTCCACCTTGTGATGGCCTTCCAGAATTTCTTTTACCTTCATCTGGATCCTTCCTTCTGTTATGTTTTCTTGGTCTTCCAGGCATTTTCTCAATCACAGGTGGGACAAGAGGTTGCACATCCACATCTAGCCACATTTCAGAGTCATTAATGACTTTCATCATATGAGAATGTGACCTTAGAAATGTGTTTTTACTGTAACATTGATCCACAAAATCTTGAGGATTCTTCTTCAAGTAAAAAATCCCACTTATTGCATGAACACATGGGATACCAGTTAAATCCCACCTTCTACAGGTACAAGTCTTCTCTGTCAAATGAACCTTGAACCTGGTTCCTATCCCATTCTCTATCTCAAACTGATCCTCACCATTCCAATGAGCAAAAAAATCTGAAGCTCTCTTTTTCAGTTCCTCCAAGATCTTAACAATCTTTGGACAGATATCACCATCATATTTTGACATTTGATCCCTTCTCTCATGCAGTCTCTTCATCAATATTAATCTGATATGTTCTAGGAGTTCAAGAATTGGCTTCTTTCTGGCAATCAAAATCATTGAATTAAAACTCTCACTATAGTTATTGTAAAGGATATCACTCCTGCTATGAGTTGAAAAGTGAGACCTTGACCAATGACATGGAGGAACGTCAGCTAACCATTTAAATGCCTTTTCATCTCTATTTTTCATCTCATCCATAGCCTTTTGTAGATCAACCACCCTTGATGACATTATTGCCTTGAAGAGGATACTTTTTAGGGCCAATCCCCTGTAGTTCTGCTTGAAGTTGCTGTACAGATGCATGACACAATACCTATGTTCAGAACCAGGAAAGAATCTGTTCACTGCATCAATTAACCCCTTTTGCTTATTTGACATAACTGTCCACATGTGGGCTTCTTTGATGTTCAAATCTTGGGCTAAAATTCCATAAACCAGCCCCAACTATTTTTTGTTTCTTTCTCAACAACAGCATATGCAAATGGAAACATGCTGTTGTTTGCATCTAATCCTACAGCACTCAGTGTTCGCCTATATTTTTAAAGCTCGACCGCAAGTGTACGGCTTCGCTCGTAGTATGTGGCAAGCAAGGTCGTATCCCAAGAGACCAAATAATTAATATATCAAGTACAAGATTATGATAGTGTCAACTTTATTTAGACGACCGAATATGAGATGGATTAACTAAACTAAGAAAATATAATCAAAAGAAAATAAAGCAACAATAAGGAACTAGCTAGAAAAACACGTAAGAAGATATATAAGAATGATAGATTCTAAGACTTTGGTTTCAATTAATAGTTGGGTTCCTTCAGAAATATCACAACTAAATGTTTCCTTTATCTACCCTATAAGATGATCACAAATTTAGCTTATCGTCCCTCTCGAGATCGATAAAACTGTAGATTAAATCACATATATTAGCGTCTCCACTCAACACATGCAATTCAACTCCAAATAGATTAAAAGATCTAATATCCTCACAACGACCTACTAATCTCTCGATTCAAGCAAGTAAATTGTGTCAAATATTAAAGACCTAATATTGAACTCATCTCTCGAATTATGAACAATATTGTCAAACATGTAAAAGAATTGATCAAGTTCTAAACATGAAATAAGAACAAAATATTTGAATAGGGTTCAAAAGAAAACAATCAACTATGATAAATCATCCAAAATCCCAACATATTAATCTACTACCATGTCTTAGAATCAATGAAATTTAGCTACTCATGATTGAAATCAAATACATAGACATATTCAAAATCAACATGATCAATAAAAGTTCAAAAGAAAGAAGAAAGAAAAAACTAGGAATCTCGTCGATCTTTCAATCTCCTTGATCCCTTTGTGGTTGATCTCCTTTTGCCTTCCAATTGCTCCTCTTGTGTGTTTCCAAGCCTCTCTAACGTGTTCCCCTCTTTTTGGCCTCTCAAACTAGGTTAAATATGCTTCCTCTTGTGTCCAAAAACCTCTCCTAGTCAAATTAGGCAAGTATTAAAATTCTGTTCCAGCGCGCGACACGGCCTGACACGCCCGTGTCACAGCCCGTGTCACGGGTCGTGTCAGGTATCAAGCCTCGGAATGCCCCTGTTCATGTGACACGGCCACCTGACACGGGCATGGTGCCCGTGTCACTGTCCGTGTCACATCCCAGCACTCTCGTTTTTGTCCGTTTCACTCGTTTCTTCCATTTTTCTCATCCGTGCATCATTCCATCATCATCTCGGGGGTCCTAGGTACTCACCATGCGCCTCCAATAGCCACAAGCTCTACAAATATGTGAAAATATCTACAAAACAAGCACGTGTAATACCTTTCCAACAAATAGAGAATTAAAGCACAAATATGCGATTTATACACCAATAACGCAATGACTAAGCTCTAGATACTCAATAAATATGGTGTAAAATCACACATGAACAAACCCCCAAACTTAAACCATTGATAGTCCCGATCAATGCATCAAACTCCTACCAACACACAAATAGAAGTAATCACACTTTCAAAGTCAATCATACACATCATCAATAGGCATCGGGCAAGTAACATACTAAATTCCGAAATTTTTAAACAAAAAGAATGCTTCATCAAAATCATGGTCAATGCTTTCAATCCACAAACCTCACCGGATAAGTGTATACTCTCCCTCTCAAAAGTATATAGGAAAAATAATCGCTCAAATCAATTCAATGCCAAAGAATTACCATAAGCTTGCAAATCGTCTACTATCTCCACCACCTATCGTGCATGCACTTCATGAATCAAAAAGGACTTTTATTTGGTTGTAATGTAGGCTCTTTGGTTAGGGTAGGAAATATATGGATAAAGTGACGAAACTCGAGCATCTAGAACTACAAAACATGAACTACACCATCTCATCACCCTCCAATTATAATCAAACCACTCAAAATCAATCCATACCCCTTTCGATCAACCCTCAAGCCATAAGAAAATAAAAATCCAACCAAACTACAAACGCCTTATTCGAATCAAGGCTCTCTATATACACAAATTCATCAAACTTGACTTTTTTTTTTTTCTTTTTTTCAGATTTTTTTTTTCAGATTTTTTCTTTTTTTTTTTTACAAATATCCATAAGCTCATCAACCTTAAACTTACATCATCAACCTTCCCTATTCATCCCTTTATCCATACCACAACAAAACACTCATCCTCTTTTCACATAATGTAATCCTAAATGCTCAAGTAAGGACAAGGATAAAATATAGATATAGCTCAATATGTGGCTTTCAAGAAAATAGGCAAAAGCTCAAAAGGGTTAACTAGGGAATATAACTATCAATCGGTAAGCTAAAAGGTCAAAAGGCTCAAAATCCTAAAAAAAAATGCCTTAGATCATTTTCACAAAAATGCACACACCATGTGGTCTCGACATAGATACCAATGCAAGTTCTAGAATTCCATTAACAATGAACGATACACTCAATCAACAAAATAATAAGGCTCAAAAGCTCACAAAGGATCATATATTCATGAATTAAAAACATCAACCAATCATTCAAATTCACAATTCCATCAATTCTCAAATTCCCTCACTTAGCACATTATGCCCGAATTATATATCAAATATGCACAAGAAACTCATCAAGTTGGATCAAAGTCAACCAACTACAACTACTCAAATCCTAAGAAAGCAATAAACATGCTAAAGCGATAAAACCTAACATGCAACTAATTGTTATGCAAAGATAATGCAAGATATCTTGTTATCTTCTCTCTAAAATTCTCAAATCAAAATATCACATCTCCCCCCCAAACTTGAATGAAATTATATGAAGCACAAAAGGGAAGAATAGAATTTCAATAAAAGTAGAATAGAGAAAACTTACAAAACATCATTGGAGAGATGACAACTATTGGTATAGATCTCAAAGCATGTCCTTCGTCATGTAAATCTCTCCACCGAATGTTCTGCAAGGAAGAAAAACAAAATATCAAATAAACAAAAAAAAAAATCAAAATAAATAAAAAAAAATAAAGCAGTAAACATTGGGTTGCCTCCCAACAAGCGCTAAGTTTAACGTCTTCAGCCAGACGCCTATGAAGTTCGATCAAGAGTTCTTCAAATCAATGTAGGACTGTCCATGGACTGAAAATGTCGCTTTGTTTTGTGCAATCAACTCCAACACTATCGGTGGCCGCACCTTCTTGATCACGAACGACCTCAAGAATCTTGGTTTTAACCTTTTAAGAAATAGATTTGATCCCCACGTATGTTCCTTTTTGTAAAACTTCTCTTCATGCCACTTCTTCTTCTTTTTCTTGTAAGTCCTCGAACTCTCATTGCAAACATCTCGCCCGTCCAGCTCATTAAGCTTGAAAAGCTTCACCTTGCTCACCAAAGACATAAGGGTACCACCCACATATTCATACTCCTTAGGGTCAGTCAGACTTTTTAGATCCAGAATGGGTGGCTTCAACTTCGAAAGGCTCAATTGGGATGAAATAAACGTTGGCAGAACATCTGACACGGCCTCTGACACGGGCCGTGCTTGATGGTCCGGGTCGTGTCGCATCCCAAAAATCTGATCTTCTCCCAGGTTTCTGACACGGTCACCTGACACGGGCATAATGTCCGTGTCACTGCCCGTGTCAGCTCTGCGCGACTTATTTTCAACTCCGATTTTTACCGTTTTGCTCTCCGAGTTCATCATATCTTCCAACTTGATCACATCACCTGAATCAATAAAGTTAGTATGCATATTCTTATCATGAAATAGAGGCTTATGTATTGAAAATAACACATATTTATCATTAACACGCAAAGTAATTTCTCCCTTCTTGACGTCAATCAACGCATCTCCCGTTGCTAAAAATGGACGCCCTAGAATCAATGGCACGTCACTATCTTCCTCCATGTCCAATACAACAAAATCAACAGGAAAAGTGAAGTTATCAATCTTGACATGCACATCCTCAACAATCCCCTTCGGACACGTTATCGAACGATCCGCCAATTTCAAAGTCATTGTAGATGGCTTCACTTCTCCCAATCCGAGCTTCCTGAGAATTGACAAAGGCATGAGATTAATACTAGCACCAAGATCACATAAAGCTTTGCTAAAGAACATATTCCCAATAGTGCAAGGAATCGTAAAGCTCCCGGGGTCCTTAAGCTTCAGAGGAATCGTGCGTTGGAGGATCGCACTACTCTCTTCCGTTAAGGTCACCGTCTCATGTTCCTCAATCTCCCTCTTCTTCGCAAATCGTTGAGGAAACGGTAAAGAGATAGAAAGTTTAGGAGAGCCAAAGTTGGAATTAAATGTAATCCCAGGCCTAGACGTTGCTATCACACTTGGTTCCTTCATGAACTCATCACAAACTTTCTCCTCTTCACTTCGTAGATAGATGGCATGACATTGCTCTTTTGGGTTCAACTCGGTATTGCTAGGAAATTGACCCCTTTGGTGCTGGCTTCCCACGGCCTTGGCCAGTTGGCCAATTTGCATCTCCAAGTTTTTCATTTGAGCCTCCATTGTCGTAGCCAATTGTGTCACATGATTCTCAATCTTGTCCAACTTCTCTTCATCTCTGTTGAAACGATTTCTCGTCTCATTCATGAAAGCTACCAGAACATTTTCCATGTCCATCTTCTTCTCTTCGACAATCTCGCCATTCACCACCTTAAACCCCGGCGGTGGTTGGAGCACATTCTTTGTATTTCCATAGGAAAAATTTTCATGATTCCTATTATTCGGGTGATAAAAACCCGGCACCGGATTAGGGCGATAGTTGCTGAAGTTCCGATTATTGATAAAATTGGCCTCTTCTAAGGGATCCGGTGGTAACACATTACCTTGTACTCCACTCACCTCATCAGCTCCTTTCGTCAAAGCATTCAATTTTGTCGTCAACGACGACATCTGAACCGCTAACTCCTTAATTGGATCAGAAGATGTCACCTCCGCCACACGTCTAATGCTCGACCTCTCGGAAGGCCACTGATAACTATTCATGGCCATCTCTTCCAACAAATTGGACGCTTCCTCCGGTGTTTTAGCCAATAGAGCTCCTCCAGCTGCCGCATCTACAAAGGCTCTCGTTTGGCCCAACAACCCGTTATAGAAGAAACAAAGTTGTTGATCCTCCGGAAAACCATGTTGAGGGCATTTTCTCAATAATTCTCTAAATCGATCCCACGCCTCGTATAAAGGCTCCGAGTCTTGCTGCCTAAATTGGGTAATCTCGCTTTTGAGTTGCATCGACTTGCTTGGAGGAAAATATTTAAGCAGGAACTTCTGGTTCAACTCCTCCCAAGTAGTAATGCTCCCATCAGAAATCATCGACAACCAACTCCGAGCTTTATCCCTTAGAGAAAAGGGAAATAGACGCAGCCGTATGGCATCCTCAGAGACACCATTGTACTTGACCAAATCACAGATTTGCAAAAACTGGGTCAAGTGTTGATTCGGATCCTCGGTCGGGTGTCCACCAAATTGGTTGTTTTGCACCATCGAGATATAGCAGGGCTTCAGTTCGAAATTATTCGCATTGACGGGTATATGCGCAATCCCGCCAAAATTCTTATTAAATTGAGGCCGAAAGTGGTCACGAATCGCTTGCCTCGGTTGTTCTTGCTCGTCCATTGTGCACTTTGAATTGCCCCTTCTTTTTCTAGTTGTTGCACTATTGCGTCTAGCGAATGCTTCAACTTCGTCAATCAAGGGTGGTAGTTGTACACCTTTAGAGCGAGTTAACATGCACTTCCTGAAATCACGAATATAAGAGATTATGTCACCAAAAATAAAAAAAAAATATCTAAATTAAAATTTTCACTATCTATCTTAATACTGATACAACTAATTATATTAGTCCCCGGCAACGGCGCCAAAAACTTGTTCGCCTATATTTTTAAAGCTCGACCGCAAGTGTACGGCTTCGCTCGTAGTATGTGGCAAGCAAGGTCGTATCCCAAGAGACCAAATAATTAATATATCAAGTACCAGATTATGATAGTGTCAACTTTATTTAGACGACCGAATATGAGATGGATTAACTAAACTAAGAAAATATAATTAAAGAGAAATAAAGCAAAAATAAAGAACTAGCTAGAAAACACGTAAGAAGATATATGAGAATGATAGATTCTAAGACTTTGGTTTCAATTAATAGTTGGGTTCCTTCAGAAATATCACAACCAATGTTTTCTTTATCTTCCCTATAAGATGATCACAAATTTAGCTTATCGTCCCTCTCAAGATCGATAAAACCGTAGATTAAATCACATATATTAGCGTCTCCACTCAACACATGCAATTCAACTCCAAATAGATTAAAAGATCTAATATCCTCACAACAACCTACTAATCTCTCGATTCAAGCAAGTAAATTGTGTCAAATATTAAAGACCTAATATTGAACTCATCTCTCGAATTATGAACAATATTGTCAAACATGTAAAAACATTGGCCAAGTGCTAAACATGAAACAAGAACAAAATATTTGAATAGGGTTCAAAAGAAAACAATCAATTATAATAAATCATCCAAAATCCCAACATATTAATCTACTACCAAGTCTTAGAATCAAATAAACTAGCTACTCATGTTTGAATTCAAATACATAGACATATTAGAAATCAACATGATCAATAAAAGTTCAAAAGAAAAGAAGAAAGAAAAACTAGGAATCTCGTCGATCTTTCAATCTCCTTGATCCCTTCGTAGTTGATCTCCTTTTGCCTTCCAATTGCTCCTCTTGTGTGTTTCCAAGCCTCTCTAACGTGTTCCCCTCTTTTTGGCCTCTCAAACTAGGTTAAATATGCTTCCTCTTGTGTCCAAAAACCTCTCCTAGTCAAATTAGGCAAGTATTAAAATTCTGTTCCAGCGCGCGACACGGCCTGACACGCCCGTGTCACAGCCCGTGTCACGGGTCGTGTCAGGTATCAAGCCTCGGAATGCCCCTGTTCATGTGACACGGCCACCTGACACGGGCATGGTGCCCGTGTCACTGTCCGTGTCACATCCCAGCACTCTCGTTTTTGTCCGTTTCACTCGTTTCTTCCATTTTTCTCATCCGTGCATCATTCCATCATCATCTCGGGGGTCCTAGGTACTCACCATGCGCCTCCAATAGCCACAAGCTCTACAAATATGTGAAAATATCTACAAAACAAGCACGTGTAATACCTTTCCAACAAATAGAGAATTAAAGCACAAATATGCGATTTATACACCAATAACGCAATGATTAAGCTCTAGATACTCAATAAATATGGTGTAAAATCACACATGAACACTCAGCAACACACCCCCTGCACCACTTTTTAAATGACAACCATCAAAGCATATAAGAGGTCTGCAACCCTCTAAGAACCCCATCTTCAGTGATCCCCAACAAATGTAAAATCTTCTAATAACAGGTTTTCCATCAATCAAGTCAGACTTGATCTTCACTGTGGTGTTAGGGTTAGTGTCCCTAATTTCTTTTGCATACCTCCACAACAATGCATATTGCTCACTATCCACCAGACTTCCCATTTTATGAACCCTCTTCTTGGCCCTATACATCATACTCTTGCTCAAAACAAGTTTCTGCTCCTTCTGTGTCAACATCATCATAGAATCTACTGGCCAATTTGGATCACTCCAAATTTTATCCTTGTAGGTTCTTGCAAGCCAATCACTACCACCATGAGAAACTTTTTGTTTCCTGTTACACCTGTGTTTCCCATTAAAAGTTTTTACAACCATTGTGTCCTCATCCTGCTTCTTAGAGGCATAAATCACCCAGGGACATTTTTTTTGTTTGCACTTGGCTTGAACCTTACTTTTCTCATTAATAGTGAAAGCAATATCCCTACCTTGTTTCCTAGAATGTTGTCTCACAGCTTCTCTAAAGGTAGGTGTATCACTAAAGTTCATGCCTACCTCAAATTTAGGGTCTTCTCCATCTAACTTAGGGTTAAAAACAGGATAACCTTCATGCATCTGAGTTTTGTTCTTCCCCTCACCCACAGAAAACTTACCATGGACTTCTGACCCTTTCTTCTCTCTCAAGTTCAAACCACCCAACTCAACTTCAACATCTATACTACCATCAAACAACACATCATCATCTGATACATCATAATCACTTTCACCTATATAATCAAACATTTTTGAGTCACTAACTTTTTCACCTGAATGATCATCAACATCACTATCACTTTCATCTGTTTCCCTATCATCAACAACATCCTGCAGATATGTTCTACTTAAACCACAAGACTGATTCTCATTACTACCTACAAATGCATTTTCATGGCTGATTCTCTCCTCAGAACTTTCTAAATTCCCAACAAATGGCAATGGTTCATCAACATTAGGAAGCTCAGACTGATTACCACTACAAATAAGGGGCTCATGTTCAACAAACAAACTGATAACTCTATCAGAATCCAACCATTGCACCAAATTCATAGCATCTAAATCATTCTCAAGTAGTGACAAATCAGAACAATCACCCATTCCTCTTTTGCTATAGAAAATTTTACCCACATTATCCAAGTCAATATCTTTAACCATAGACATTATCTCAACCATTGAAATGAAATCTGCCTCACAATTGTCAATGAAGTCAATAGAACCACCACAATACACATTTCGACCAACACTTACAAATTTACCAGAATGATTGATTGCAATCGTAAAACCTTCAGCATTATTACCTAGAAAATGAAAAAAAAAACACCTCAGAAAACAAACAACAAACTAAGCATGATTATTCATATCAGTATCAGATTGGAGAGTAAAAAGTAACCAAACACTTACAATTGTGATTAGCTCCTGTTGACTGGGTCGATTTTGGCCGCAACTTCCAACTCATCGTTGTGCTAAATCTAATTCCTACTCACAGAGTGCTCGATTTGGTAGTGAAATGAATTTCGATTAAGGTAGTGAAATGAATTTCAATTACAAGGCAAATAATTTCAATTTGGGGAAGGAAATTGCTCGCTCGCTCTAACCCTAATTTTTTGGGAGAAATGAAATTGGAAAGAAAGGTAGGGCAACCGTCAACCGGTAAACGATTATTTATGTTTGACTCAAAACCAGTTACAAACAGGTGAAACCGGACTTCAAACTGGTATAGGGGGTATATTGACAAACCCGTGTAGTTTAGATGGTAGTTTGCAAAAAATAAAAGTTCATATGATAAAGCAAAAAAAAAACTGATAGTTCAGATGGAAAAAAGTTTTTTTCCCTAATCTCACAAACTATTATGAATTGAATTTTTCAATTGTAGTACATTTTGGCAGGAAAAGGAAATCACGGGAGAGAATGAAAGGAAAAATGGAATCTACAGTATGATATTATATTTATTATATATTTTCAATAGTCTTTATTAAATTAGATAGTAATACCTTCTTAGAAATATTTACTTTTCTAGTTTGCAATATTTTTGTTTGGTAAGTAAGTCAAGTCCTGTTATATTCCTCCCTAAAACGAAGTAAATATTATATCATGAGGGAAAGAAAACTTAATCCTAAAAATTGGTGAGGGGGTTTGGGCCTCAAGAAAACTCAATAGATCTCAACTTTTAGCATTTGCTAGTGACGTTATTTTCGATCTTATTACAACCTCTAGACACTATTTAAGAATATTAAGTCGCAAACGAGTTGTACACATGAGCAACTAATTTTCTAATTATTTCCAGTAAACATTACCAATAAATCAACTTTCTAAACTTAGTTGTGTTTTCTTCCCAAAAACAATTCACGTCACATCTTACTTCTCTTACTTGAAAAGGCATTACACCCTTACTTGAAAAGGTATTACACCCTCAAATAAGACGTTACCTTCACATTACTACTTTTTTTAATTTGGCTAGTATTACTAAAAAAATAGTTGGATAACTTTTAAATATTTTACTTTATATATTATAGATTTTGTTTAATATGCCAACTATTTTTTATATTATCGAATAATTCCTATCTATTAATATATAAAGAGACAATGATATTTATTTAAAAAATAGTAACTAAAATCAGTAAAACAATATTTGGTTTCCCGCCTTAAATTTCAATAGGTAATTTTTTTGGCCAAAATTTGAAAAATCCCACCTAAATTAATGTAAGTACAGAATCATTTTGGTCAAATATTGCCGCTATTGCCTTTATTAGTTACATGATTGAAATTTGGAATATAATATATTGACAAAACTTGCAGCTATTACCTTTATTAGTTGGATGGTTCAAATTTGGTATATAATATATTAAAAAATAATTTAAAATTAAAAATCAAAAAAATTATTGTTAGGTCAATATTAACTTGGACGTAAACGAAATAGTCAATTATTTATAGTTTAATAAATTACTTAATAACTTATGGGTCAATATTAACTTGGACGTACACGAAATAGCCAATTATTTATAGTTCAATAAATACCCAACTACTTAATTTTTTTATTTGAACAGTTTATACAAAAATAAATTATTTTAAGTAATGAAACAATATATAAATTTTATATTTATACTTATTATTCATATGAGTTGTTAAATATATGATAAAATTTTACCAAATAACTGTTTTATGGTATCAAACCGAACACTATAAGTTTCACTACTTTGCGAACCGAAACCAAACCATAAACATTTGGTAACTGACTTTTCGGTTATCGATTAAACGATTCGGTTTCGATTTAACCGATAATAAACCGAAAAAACCGAGACTATTAACATTTAAATGAGCAGCAGCAGGCAACCATGATTTTCCTTTTCTGTTGGGGTAATTTGAATGAAAGAATTTGGTATAGAAAATTCAAATAAGTTTTCCACCACCCCAAATAAAGTAATAGCTAAGCTAGTATGTAAAATAAACATTAACAGCAGCGATGGATTATGACATTAAGTAACAGCAGCAGATTGATGAACGAAGGTGAGTCGCTTAAGCTGAAGTTGTGAAGCGGTGAAGGACCTAAAGGTGTGTCGGTGAAGGAGGCGATCTGAAGTGAAGGTGAGGTGAACCATGAACGACTAAAGAACGACAAATTGATGAACGAAGCCGTGAAGCCGTGAAGGTGTGAACGGCGATCTAAATTAAATCTGAAGTGAACTGATGATTGAATATTGATGAACGAGGACTAAAGGAGGCGATTGAAATTTGAACAGGACTCTGGTCCAGCCCTACTCTGTTAACTCTTTTAATATTATCCGTCCTTTTTGAGTTTTTTCTTAGATTAATTAAGATTTAAGACTAAATTATTTGATTTAACAAATATAATATACATATTCAATAGCAGTATTTTTTTTATATATATATTCTTATCGGTTTCGTTCGGAACCGATACCGACCTGATAACATTTCGGTAACCGATTTTCGGTTGCCGTTACACATGGTTCGGTCGGTTTATTTTCACAATGGTTTGGTTCGGTTCGGTTTTTGGCCAAAAAATACCAGTCCTAGTATCACATTGTAGTCGAATCGAATTTCTGAATAAAAATTTTGAAATGACACTTATTTTGAAATGAATATAATGTAATTTATTATCAGTTATGTGCACTGCACGAGTTGTGCACTAATTTTAAATAAATATTTTTATGTAATTTTGCACAATTTAAACTTTATATAACATTTTCAACAAATTAATATAAGTAATATTGTATTACGTATTGATTCCATAATTTTAAATTATAAATATTAATGAATATTTCTTACTCGTGCAGTGCACGAGACTCATATTAGTTTACTTTAAAATATTAAGCTTAATATATGATTATTTATACATTAACTTTTTTATTCCCTTATTTTATAGTAGGAAAATAATATGTTCCGACCAACCTGTACAATACAGGGGAATTTATATATAAAAAACAAAAAAAAGAACAAGTACAGAAAAAAAACAAAAAAAAAAAAGAGTGGAAAAAAAATCAAAAACTCGTATTCAGTGAATACGTTTTCTTCACAAATTTAATTGAAAAACGTATTTTCAAAATACGTTTTTCATGGGGAAAACGTATTTTCATAATACGTTTTTCAATTAAATTTGTGAAGAAAACGTATTCACTGAATACGAGTTTTTGATTTTTTTCCACACTTTTTTTTT